GTTGGCAGGTGGCCTCGTGGAGCGCCGCCGCTGGGAACTTCGCCGTGCGGCACTCGAAGGTCGGGGGCAACGTCAGTCGAGAATGGCCAGGGCCCCGGCTAAGGGGAGCCGGTCAGTGATTGGGCCCCGAAACCCAACATATTCGGGGGCGGCAAAGAGGGGGGTGATGACTTGGGGGGATATCATGGCGTGGGCCATGATATTTCCCCAGATTTCATGGCGCCTCTTCTTATTTCAATACGCCCCTGGCCCCCCCGCTGGGCCGCGCACATGCCGCCGGTCATGATTTGCACCACCCCCTCTTGGACCCCCCCCTCTTGGCCGCTCCCGACATATGGATTGGAATCACTAAGCCAGGCTTGCCGTAGCTGGTGCTTTTCGGGTGACGGCAGTTCCGGTCAGTGGAACAGGGCGGGGGGGGGGCGTCCCCCAGTAGACGTCACTAAACCAGGTCCCACTAATGCCCGGGTCAGGGAGGGGATGCCAGAAGAGGAAGAGATGCCGATGGCGCGGGCTCGTCCTGGAGAGCCCTCGTCGCCACGGCTGGATTCTCCGCGCAGTCCTGGCTAGAACTAAAAGGGCCCTGGGACAAACACACAGATTGACACACATCCCAGGATCCCACATCTTTCTTTCCTGGGCCTTCGTCTCCCCCCCCTCCCCACTCCCATGCTTCCCCGCACTCTCCTGGGGGTCGACGACCAGCTGTGTCCCTGCGTTTCTGCCCCTCCTGAAGAGCGCGCCCCGCGAGAGGCCCGGGGAGCAGGGCGGCACCACCTGCACGCTGTGGCTGCCCCGGGGCAGGCCAACCCGGGGGGGGCGGGGGGGCTTCGGCCCTCGAGCGCCCACTCGCCGCCGCTGGGGGCCCGGGCCGGCCCACGCCCCGCCCAGGAGCTGCGCGGCTTCGCTCGCCAGGGGGGGGGGGGGCTATCGTGCAGGCGGGCGCGTTTTTCTGCAGCAGGACCGTTCAAGACTAGTATAGCTGTAGTCAGGGGACGTTTTTGTTTCCTTTCTCCGTGGAAAAAAGTGTTGAACAGGTTTGGGCTAGTATTCACTTCTGCTAGAAAATCCGCCTGTAGGAGGACATGCCCGACCTAAGCCTATCGCCGATCCGTCGGAGGTGCACCGCCGAATCAAGCTCGATGGTCCCCGCCCGCCCCTGAGCTGATCCCCCCGTCTCGTGCCCCCTTCAGAAGCCCAGAGATCCGACGTCTTGATTTTTGCCGATACGGTGTTCCCAGAAGTCTGGACCCCTTTCCCTGGGGCCAGTTTTGCATCCCGAGTCATTCTCTGATGGTTCCAGGGCCTGGCGAGGGCTTCCGGGGGCCAACGAGAACGAAGCGCCTCCGCATTGCATTTTTCAATCTGCTGGAGTTCTGGGAGTCCGGGACCGCGAGGGTGTCTGCTTCCCGCACCCGCTGCCGCCGCTGCGGTGCCAGGAGAAACCGAGCTGGCGGAGTTGCCGAGGGCAGGCGGCCTCGGGCGGGCGCGGGCGGGCGCGTGCGTGCGTCGGAGGCCACAAGGGCAAGGTCGAGTCACCCCCTCCTCCTCCTCCTCCTGCTCCTCCTGCTCCTCCTCCTCCTCCTTCTCCCCCTCCTCCTCCTCCTCCTCCTCCTTCCTCCTCCTCCTTCTCCTCCTCCTCCTCCTCCTCCTCCTCACCCCTCCTCCTCCTCCTCCGCCTCCTCCTCCTAGCCCCTTCTGCTCAGGCTTGCAGAACGCGGGTCTTAGGAGGGCCCGCGTCTGTACCGCACGGTCCCACTCTACATTTTTCCATGTTCAGAGGCTTCTGGCCAGCGATGGTCATCACGGCTCTCACCTACAATCCCCTTCCATGCCACAGGTGATCGACTCTTGGAAATCATTCTCGAGCTTGCCAATGTGGCTGTGGTGGGACTGCCAGGTACACAAAGAAAGGCTGCGGTTGATCTAGACTATCAGACATTCATGATTCAGAATAGGGTATGTGTTGACGCAGGGTGGCGCAGTGGCAACCTGACTAATCGCTCCGCAGGAGTAGCGGCTCTGCTCCCGCCAGGATGGAGACAGCGAGACGTTCGCCAAGTCGCAGTCCCACCTCCTGCAATTCAGGGCCGTGGGCTGTCAGTTGAATGCGGCAAGGGGGGCTGGAACCTGTGCATCATGGTGCTGTGCTTTCCTCCTCGGCCCTCCTCTGCTGCAGGTGTGCGCACATATCTAGCTTGCTGTCGCCAGTTGTCGTCGTGGGCCCAGGGGCAGCTCAAGAAACTGCCGAGCCGCTTTCATCCCATCGTCCTCGCTGATGTTAACGACGGTGTCGGGCTGGTCAAGAAGGAAGGAGATTGGATGGAGGTGGAGACGGAGGCGGTGGGGAGGATCAGGATCAAGGAGCGACATGCGGGAGGAGGAGGCCAGAGGTTTCGTGAGCTGCTAGAATCTGCCGACTTGTTCTCGCCCACCACTGGGGGAAATGGCAGTAGTTCGATGTTGGACCATGTGGCCATCCCACTTCGCTGGTGCGATG